AGCAGCTATTTCAACACAGTGCTCACTCTCAGTGGGCATCTTTACATTCCAGTTGACAAAATCCACTACAGTGTTGTCTAGCCACAACCACTGGCCTAAAGTCCAAAAAAATATATTGATTATAACCAATTAAAAGAAAATTAGAGTGTCCATTGTAATGCCTTATTGACTTAAAAATTTTAAGTCAGCTCACCAATTGGTCTACCCCTAGTTACATTTTCCCTGGGGGTAGTAGAGTATACAGATCCCTTCTGCTATTGCAGTCTTAACAAATCTGTAGTCACTCCTATCACAGCTCTTGACTCCAGCCTTCCTTCTTGATGTAACCTGCAGCTCCTTCCCTGCTTTTCTGGGATTACAAGTTACTTTATAGATTCTTCCTCCTTCAGGAGCAGGGCCTGCACCTGTTTAAGGGTGAAGCCTTCTTAGCCTAGCATTGCTCTACTCCTCAGCCTGGTTCAATATGGGATCTGTAAACCTCATCACAATGCTACAAATGGATTTGGAGGGATGGTGCTTCAGGAAAGATCAGACCATAGTTCAGCATTTTATGTGCTAATTATGTTTCTTTGACTACAAACTAGCAACTGTTAACAGAAGAGGTAAGAATCCCAGTGGCTGAAAGATTTCAACCTTTGAAATAGAAAAGAACTTTTATCCATTTTATTTCTATTCACTTTTTCAACTATACATAATAGAATAAGTAATATAAAAGAAATGCAGCATTAAAAGCAATATTTAGAAACAATGATGACTTCATTATGAATTCAGACATGTCAGAATAGGCTAACTGAATAGATGTAAGAGAATAGCAGGAAGAAAAAGTAATGGAGATAAAAGAAATAGGAACATCTGACACAGTATGTTCCCACACATTTCTCAGTCACCATACTCAAACAAGGAAGGCTGGAAGCTGCCCAATGACTGGTAAAATTGTAAAACTCAAGCAATGATTTTAATGACCAAAAAGTATATGCAGGTGTTCTTCAATCTGGTGGCTTCCTTTCCTTAACAGACACTGACAATCGCCATCAATATCGAATATGGTGCTTCACTCCTTGCCTTCACCAGCCAGGAAATCTAACACACAGCTTGAAGTCTGAAGTTCTTCCCTCACTTCAAGTATACTAGTGAACAATACTAACTCAAACTCAGCTGGTGAAGACCTTGCACTTGCACTCAAACTACTGTTCTAATACAAAAAAAACTGAATAAAGTAGCCAAATAATGAGCAATTGCCTTTTCAGACTATCTAGAAATTTGTCTTCATGGGAGGGACTGGAACCAGCAACCAGGCAGATGATTTGATGACCTATGCACAACTCAAAGCAAATGTTCTGACCATGGTTTTGTGTTGTCTATGTTGGAGTCAGTGCAGGATTTACTCACAAGCTAAGCAAGATACAACTTAGGGCCTGAGAGTATGAGGGGCCTCTAAATAAAAAAAAACACCAAAATATTACCAAAATATTTTTTTTGCTAATGCTATGAGGCCTCTTAAACTTGACATATCTTAGGGCCTTTGTATATCTTAAGCACTGGTTGGAGTTAATCAGATTTACCTTTATATTCCTGTGGTCTAGCAAGTCTTCTCTCACACTTCATTCCTGGTGGGTTATCTGCTCACTCAAGAGGCCTCTTAGGACAAAGTCACTAAAGGAAGCCTAGGGTCAACCCACTGACATTAGAGACTAAAAAGCATTTGCAGTCCTATTTAAAGCATTACCAGAATAGTACATCAAGGGAAAAAACAATTCCTCAGATTTCATTTATTGACAAATATTAATTTAAATGACAATAAAAATTACCATCCACATTTCTGTACATTCCTGTCCAAAACCCTTGTGTTTTGCTTTCAAGAGCCTGTATCCTGTGTGTCAGAAAGTTGGATTCAGCCAAATCTTCTACTGAAACCAAAGTAGCCCCTGGAAAGCATTAACAAAACAAATAATCATAATTCAGGTGAGTAACTAGTATATTGACCTGTCCCTTCACAACTATAAGGGTATGTCTAGACCAGGCAGATGATTTGATGACCTTTGCACAACTCAAAGCAAATGTTCTGACCATGATGAGTTTACTAGACATAGGGAAATGAAGCGGCAATTTAAATAATCGCCGCTTCATTTACATCAAAATGGCCGCCGTACTGTGCCGATCAGTTGTTTGGCGGCACAGCAGGGCAGTCTGGACGCTCCACGGTCGACAATGGAAGCCATTGTTGACCGCTCCGTTATGCCTTGTGGAATGAGGTTTACTGGAGCGGTCGACAAAGGCTTCCATTGTCCACCGTGGAGCATCCAGACTGCCCCGCTGTGCAGCCAAACAGCTGATTGGCACAGTGCGGTGGCCATTTTGATGTAAATGAAGTGGTTAAATCGCCATTTCATTTCCCTATATCTAGTAAACTCATCTACATGGCTCCGTCGACGGAGCCATATAGTCTAGACATAACCAAAGAGAAATTAATTTATCCTCAAGACTTTTTCACAATGCCTTCTGATTGGCTGACTTCTCCATTCCTCTGCCTCAGCAGTTGAATGTGCTGAGTCACAACCAGATTTCTCAATATAGCTATAGCTAATGCTTCCTCCTCCTGGAGCCCATAACCTTGCATGTCAGTGACCAAATTGTGGATTATCTAGCCTGATGGCTGAATCAGTAGTCTGGCCTACAGGTTGACATGGAGCAAAGTCACAGGTAAGATATGGGAGTCAAAAGCTAGTGCCTGAGCCAAATTTAAGTCAGAAGCCTAAATTGAAGCCAAAGAGCTAATTGGAGTCACATTCAGGAGACAGAGTGGGGGTCTGGGGCAGGGGCAAGGATAAAATCATAGCTTTGGAAAACACCTCGGAAGGTAATCAAATCCAACCCCCACTAAAAACAAGAGCAATCCCAAATAAATCATCTCAGCCAGGGTTTTGTCAAGCCAGCAAAAGCTCTAGGGAAGGAAATTCCACCACCTTCCTAAGTAATTCATTCCAGTGTTTCACCACCCTCCTAGCGAAACAGCTTTTTCCTTTTATCCAACCTAGATCTCACCAACTGCAACTTGAGCCCATTGCTCCTTGTTCAATCATCTGTCACCACTGAGAACAACAATTAACATAGTGAATGCTAGTGGGTAGTTTTAGAAGATAAAATAAAAAAGAACAAGTTAAAAATCACCTAGAAAAGTTAGATGCCTGCAAGTCACCAGGGCCTGATGAAATGCATCCTAGAATACTCAAGGAGCTGATAGAGGAGGTATCTGAGCCTCTAGCTATCACCTTTGGAAAATCATGGGAGACAGGAGAGATTCCAGAGGACTGAAAAAGGGCAAATATAGTGCCCATCTATAAAAAGGGAAATAAGAACAACCCAGGAAAATACAGGCCAGGTAGTTTAACTTCTGTGCCAGGGAAGATAATGGAGCAATTAATTAAGGAAATCGTCTGTAAACACTTGGAAAGTGGCAAGGTGATAGGGAACAGCCAGCATGGATTTGTAAAGAACAAATCACATAAAACCAATCTGATAGCTTTCTTTAATAGGATAGCGAGTCTTGTGGATGTGGGAGAAGCAGTGGATGTGGTATATCTAGACTTTAGTAAGGCGTTTGATACGGTCTCGCATGATATTCTTATCAATAAACTAGGTAAATACAATTTAGATGGGGCTACTATAAGGTGGGTGCATAACTGGCTGGATAACCGTACTCAGAGAGTAATTATTAATGGGTC